ATCAATCGTCCAGTCTCTAACCACTACTATCTTCATCTCCTCCTGGATCCCGCCGCAAGAGAAGGAAATTTCACTGGTCATCGGAATCGTACTTTCCAACCACGTCCAAGCCAGCAACGTTAGAGGAAGTTTGCGTCGTTTCCAACAGAGCTCCCTCACCTACATCGTTATTTCAATACCAGTCTATCTTACACGTATCTACGGAAAAGTGCGACCATGCAGCGAGAAGGATGCGATCTAGAGCGGAAATTCTGCTTAGACTGATCAACATAAGACGCAGATCCAACCATCCGGGGACCCGGAATGCGGGACTACAGGCTGATTGCCGACTGAGTAACAGACTTCCCGGTTGATCAATTCAGTCATTAAGACTTAATAAACCATGCGCGGTCAAACGCTGGGGATGACTGAGACTCACTGGCCGACCCGATGAGGGCACTGTCTGACTCTCCCTTCGAGCCCTATCTAGACAAATGTGGCGTCAGAAACCATGATAATGACTGTGCTTTCTGAAGAGTCTTTGTGGAGAGCGATCGACACGATCGGCCACCATTGCAGCGAGCGGAACTCGGGCCAAGGTTTAGCGGCTATGCCCCAGCGCTACTCATCCTGAATCTGATATCTCACATTCTCTCTGTCTGGTACTAAGGTGGAATCATCCTAGAGAATTCGAAACACTCCAGCCTCCGGCTAGAATTTCTGGCCGGTTTACCTGTCATCTGTCACCACTTACCAGGTTGTCGCTACTTGTGCTATGGCAGCTTGCCATCGTATCAGATGCTCGCAATTATTCTGCGCATGATGTCAGTAGAATGTCTACACCCGCTGCTCGACGGGTTGACTCTTTTGCAAACATGCCGTGGTACCCTCGCATAACCAGTGACAGCATTCAGTAGGACCTTGTATAAGCACAAAATCAAGCGTGCTTGTACATGACGCCTATGCCCGTATCTGGAGAGAGGCGCTGGAGCGGCTTAATGCTTGCCGCAACGACTAAATGGGAGACAACCTCAAGCAATTTCGATAACACTATATGACTATTCCGTGCATTGGCACTTTTTACGAGCCATGAGTAAAGTCTGACTTGCATCGCCCCGCACCTTCTGCCCTACGGATCGGGTTCCGGTAGCTCCCTTGCTCCAGTCTGGGTGGCCGTTTCGCCTTGCAGCGCCTCTTATCCCTGTGGAAGGGAACCGGGCCATGTAAGGTCTGATAGGTGGTTAAAGTCCGTGCGCTCTGATCATTGAGCTTTGTTTATCATCCTCCGTTGGCATGCGCTGACGCTTTTCGGACTCCTCCCCGGCCTAGCCACCAATTCACTGGTAGTCTGGTACTGGAACTTGAAGGGCAGCCATTGAAAGGTTATTTTTGGGGAGGCATGTAGTATAAACATACCCCCTTCACCCCCTTCCAGTCTCTGAGATATTGCAGACACTCTCTTGATGACCCTTTGCTGTTATCGACTTCGGCGCCAGATGCTCACCATCAGTTAAGCATTCTCGATGATACCCGTTTATCGCTGAGAACATAGTGTCGCATTTGTTGTAACTCTTACAACCATAGCCCATGGCTGGCACATATTCTTTCCTTCCTGGCGACCTCAACGCTTCACTGAAAGCCCGGAATAGACCCTACACTGGACTCCGCTTGCCCTCATCGTCCCCTGCTAAGAAACGTGCCTCGTCCTTCTATCCTGAGCTCGGCCCAGAGATTGTGGACGAGACCAGCCCGGATCCCTTCTATCTCGAACACTCCCTGGGCAGGTCAGGTGCTTGGGGCAGTAGCAAACGGGACATTCGCGATGTCAGATTCTGCGAGGAGTCCAATCAATATTTCATGTTATCCTCCGTGAACCACAGTCAGAAGGAACCGACGTTTCCCAAATCTGTAAGAGGCGAGTCAAAGCGGACTCGTCGTCCCAGTCAACCTGATCGATCGACACTTACCGGCGTTGGATTCGAGCATCAATACTCTCTTCCACCACAAGTTGCAGTTCCACGTTGGGAAAAGCACCCTCTGCACGAGAGCCAGGGCTCTTTCAGCTCTGAACAGACCGACGCAACTCCCGACTTGACTCCGAGCAGCTCGTTCTCGTCAAACTACTCCTCCCCAATCTACCCCGACAGTGGCCTGCACGGCTCTGAGTACGCTGTTCTGCCAGTCCAGTTGCCAACCCAGGGTACATATTCAAAGTCCCTGGAGAAGTTCCATCAAGCTTCTCCTAAGCCACCAGTCGGTCTACGACCAGCTTCGTCCAACCGTCCGTCAACGCCTGCGCGGAATACTGAGTTCACAAGTTCCACGGAAACTTTGAGAATGCCACGAACAGAGGATCAGGACCTTTCATCCCGACGCGGGAAACCGCTCCCCTCTCTTCCTATCAATCCACGTCACGGCAGTGGTGTGCCAAGCAAGAGGAGCACCAATTCCGGTCGTCGACCTTCGATTGAACCCTCGATGATTTCTCCTCCCAGTCTCATCAACCCCGTCACTCTCGAGCCGCACACAACCCATTTCGATCAAGCCATGTTTATTCCTGCCAACGAATGCCCCAGTCCTGTACCCAGTCGTGGCCCGCCCTCTCCAACGACAACAAATGAAGCGCCCGTCTCTTCGAAAAGTCAAAGGCCGTCGACCTCGGCTTCCGAGGCCCCCTTCGAGCATTCTGTATGGGAGCCAGATTCTGATTCCGAGTCCCTGGGTCCGAGATCACTGTCGAAGAAGCCTATGGACACCCTGAAGAAAGTCCGCAGTCGGGTGCAACTCCGTGTTGCGAAGTCCGCTCCCAAACTGCAGAACTCCACAGCCTCTCCGCCAACAGATCCGCCCCTGGAGAAATTCCCCACAATGCCTGATCCTCCTCCCAGGGATCCATTTCCTGAACCTGTCAAATCTGTGGCACCGTTGACCTTGTCAAGCCGGGAGGTCTTTCGGCCGTCGCCATTGCAAACACTGCGACTCGTTAACCCGTCGACGACCTCCCTTGTGAGACCTCGAACACCTCGATCTCGTCGAAACAGCAGCCAAACTAGGGGTCAGGATCGGGATCAGCCTCGGAACTACGACTTTGACCGGTCTGCTGCGGCAGCCATCCAAGCCAGATCCAGACGCAAACAGCGGTCAGATTCGCTTGCCACTTCGCGTGTAACAGACAGGGAGAAGGTCTGTACCTTTTGCCGCGAGGATCGATCTGACGTGGCCATTCATCACAGCCTGACGCTTGCGCGCCCTCCTCTCTACAAACGCGTGTGGGAGTCATTGCGTCTCCTTGGCTGCCATAGTGACATAACTCCTCCTAAATCCTTTCCACGAAAGTCGATGTAATTGATTCTTGCTGGCTGCAGCAATTGGCGAATGGCGTTCAGATCACGACTATTCTGATTCTACGTTCCGTCCTGCCGCTTATGTTTAGTGGCCGATTATTCAGATGGAGCAAATTCGATTGGGCGTCTTTGAAATAATGTCTTATGATCTACTTTACGACCATGGACACTCCTAGTAAAGGAGCTGTCCTGGTTCGGATGCTGACGATGAACACTACCACGGGATGAGAAGCTCTCTCCAATGACCTAATGAGCAGGGCGCAACACCCTGATATGTCTGCCATATGATATAATGTCCGAAGAGGCAGCAACAGCTGTCCTGAGCGGGTTCATGTACGAATAATGAGGCAACGGATGGAGTTTTTGGATCGGTTGTCACCATTGAGGCCTTGGCTCGTTCCTTTGCGTTTACCTGCTATCAACCTGTCTTTCTTTGATTTTCTTTGCGTCTGATGATTCCACTCTCAACGTTCTTTGGAAGCTTTCCTATCTGTCCATTTCGGCCTACCACATCATCGCTCGCTATGGATATCCCGACCTTGTCCCTCTCTCTCTCTCTCTCTATGTTACTCCGTCAAATCAAGAATCATAGCCAAGATACAAGGCGCAAGCCAAATGTACCCATAGGTTCCAATCTCGACACGGACAACCAGGTAAAACCCAAAACAAACAAAGCACAGGTCTTCCAGGATGGACCGGAATGCTGGGGTAATCCCGCCTAGCGGTCAAAGTGTTGCCCGCGTACGTATCCAGGAATGAGGATGGCCACGAACAGACCTCCGCCTAGTGTGCAGTATCTACACTCTTTCGTTGGCTTTCATCCCTTGATTCAAATAGGATATAGCTCTAATAGTCTAGTCTAATTGTAGCCTCCAGCCACCACCCGCACCGGGCGCAAGCCTTCTCATCCCTTGTTGTATCCGCTACCTTGGAAGGGAGACGTTACTTTGCTGGTCTGTGGTGGTGGTCCGGGGTACTGTCTAATTTGCCAACGTTTCTTACTAGGTATTTGTGGCTAGCTTTATTTTGTAACGAGGAGAATTTTGTCCCTGCGGGCTGGGTCGGAGTGGCTTTTGGCTGTTGGAGGTGCAGCTGCAGCTGCAGTTACTTCAATAATGTCTCAGTTATGTCTTGCATTGATGTGCGGATGAGGCGAATTGGTGCAGGTGTCTCCCAGTCGGACTTTAGGAAAGAATACACCGTTTATCTAGGTTATTCGTACACATTTCAATTGGAGGAGAGCATCTTGTAATAGTTGTCCATCTGCTGAGTACTCTCGTAACTTCTCTATGTGACTGATCTCTCAGAGTTTGGCTTAGGTATCCTTCTGACTGATCTCAAGCTTCGTGCTCCACGTTACTTCGTGGGGCGGGAATAGTGCTGAGCTTCCACCTGCTTATGCATTGGAATGGACTTCCGCTGCAATACTCATACGAGCCTTGCGCTGCCGACGCGGACCGGTTGATCGGTTTCAGTTCTGCCAGGGAGACTGGAACTGCAGGCTTTCCAGCTGCCGTCGCTGCAGGGTCGATCACTCGCGGGTGCTGTTTCGTCCGTAGCAGGGTGTGTGCGAATCCGTATGGATAGCACGGAGCCTGCAGCCGCACGGCATGAGTCTGGTCGGGTCCAAAGCAAGCGATGGAAATGGCGTCGAGTTGAATAATAACGACGACGACCTCAAATATGCTCTGTTGATGTTGACGCCCGCTGCTCATCCTCCTTTGGCTCCAGGGCGGCCATATTCTCTTCCCAATGCGCCACCCGGACCTGGTCCTCCCACTGTGAAATGACGGCGTCCCCTTTCCGGCGGAGGACAACCTCCGGTTTCTCCTGCCCCTCTTTGTTTTGCGTGCTCTCCTCCTCACTCCCGGCAAATACAGACCGGACTTCCAGCTCCTTCACAGCTTTTTGGTATAATCTGAGCAGCTGCTCCCTCTTCGCCTGCCGCGCTGCTTCATCTGCCTCGGCCTCTTGACCTTCTTCCTTTCGCTGAGCCGGTTTCTTTACTGCTCTGGACGCAGTGCGACTCTCAAAGCCGCGTAGTAAGCCTTCGATGATACCGATCACCGTTCCTGCTCTCATGCCTAGCTGTGCGCCGATTGGGAAGCCGGCATCGAAGCCGTGCTGGACGTGCTCGCCTTTCGCGGCGGAGACTCCGTCGCGGTAGCCGGCTGTGACGTGTTGACGACGGAGAGAGGGGAGATCCGAAGGCTCAGGAGCTTGGCTGGATGGTTGCTGGGGGATTTTTTCGTTCTCGTGGGGTGGGGACGAGCCGAAGATGTCGTCGAGGGAGTTAGCTTGTGGTGAGGTCATGGTCAGTAGAATGCGGGGAGACCAGATTTGTGAATCAGCTTATGTGCAGATCGTTTGGTCTCGACAAGGAAAGATGTAGATTCTCTGTATTTTGAGATGTCACGGTCAAGAGATTGCACGGTGAGTCGGGTTTCGAGGAATATTCTTTGTTGCAATTGTATGTGCGGGGGAAGGGAAAAAAAAATTGAGGCAAAGCGATATTCGGGACGGGTGGGGATGGACGAGATAAAGATGAGCTTATCCAGCATCGATCCATAAGTATGAGTTGCTATCATTCTGAGACGAATTTTAAAGAAAGAGACCACACATTCAGTTGTCCAAATTATTCGCCAGACAGAGGAGTGCTAATGTTTGCTCCCTAAAGTTCTGGGGATGCTCTGTGTTCTGGTGAATTATCCATCAAGTCAATAGTATGGACTATGGAGTACCTCAAGGAATTGATGCTTCCACTATCAGAGCACAGACTACTTACTGATCGACAAAGACGATAACTTACAATACCTTGACAAATGATGTTTCATTCGACCATCATTTCTCCGAAGAGCTAACCACAATGCTGGGACCAGTCGGACTCGGATGGCATGATCTCTCAGTCGGGCACGGCCAAGGTAAAAAAGACCTGTCCACTCGAGACCTCACAAATCCAACTGTCCCAGCCTGACGATTAGACCATCGATTCCACACAGCCAAACGTTATTCCATAGTTCCGACCAGTAATGGCAGCACGATCTAGAACACGTCTTCTACTCATCCTCGCTGTCCCTCAAGTGGCAATCGGATACGGCATCCACAGAGGCCTCAGCGCGCTCGAGGCAGAATATCCCCCTCTCCCTCCTGAACCAACAACTAGCATCGCTCTTCGCACTCCACGGGATCCCTCAACCCAGTTTTGTGCATATACCGATGTCTACGCGGCTCGCGTACCGGTCAAAGCACTGCTGCCCCGAGCTCAAGGGACAGACGGCATTCCTGATAAGCACAAAAGTACAAACTTCGAAATCACTAGTGCATGGGCTCGGGCGTTCATAGGCAACAAGATCCTCCGCGCAGAAGGGAGCCTCGTTGGCCTCCTGGCTAAAAGAAAGTTTACTCCAGGGGACACCGGCGATTCTCCTGCAGGATTCGCATCGCCCGATGCGTCGGGGGAGCCCCTTACGCTTCTGAATGGTGTGCTGGTTGTTGAGCGGCCACCGTCGGAGGATGACAGGAATGGGCTATTGGTTTCCTGGCGTGTGCCCGATGAACCACGTCGGTTCTGTGAGAAGATCGCTCGGTGGGGGTATCCGTGGCGGCTGATGTCGGGTGGTCGTCATGAACTAAGTGTTTCGGAGCCATTTGATGGGGTGGAAGACGATGGGAGTCACGGTCCCTTTGTAGAGGTGCGGTTTGCTTCCGCTCATGACTACGAGATTGTACCTGAGGAGGGAGATCTGCAGCATCAGAAGAGGATACCCGGTTGGACGGGGAGACTTCATCGGGGGTATGCTCGGCTCTTGCTTGATCGTGCTGTGCGGGAGCTGAAGGGAGAGTATGAGAAGACTGGAAGGGGATTCTGAACCTGATGAGATCGCAGATGGAGTATGTTCGCTTCGTCTTGATGTCCATTGCCCAATCTGAATTATATATAGAATCCCCGGTCTATATCGGATCAGTGTATCTACCTTAGGCGGCTTCTGCATTTACTACTAGCCGTATTGAAGCCAAGCATTTCTTACCATTGTAGCCCGATGCTGTCCTGGATAATATATTTAAAGATTCGGGCTGTGACGCTGCAGCAGCAAAATGGAAGACTCCAAATGGAAGCTACCAAATAGCTCGAGGTCATTCCTAGTGACTACAAGGAATATGATTATAACATAAACAGAGCGGTTCAGAGTGGTTTCCGCAGATGGACTCGAGACATTTGTGGCTTCTAATCTGTACATTATTGGTAAATTCTGTAATGCATACACCTACAAGGCCAGTAAGCAACATAAAAGCGATCCACCAAGGCAAGAAGTCTGCAAAGCTTCAGTGAATGGCCAAATTCATTCTTTACCCTATTGGCCATGGTCCAATGGCTACTCCAATATTATTCGCGACCAGAGATATCATAGATGATTATTCTCATCTTCTTTGGTCTGTTCTGATTCTCTCTTCTTTCAACTCCTCCTCATCCTCAAGTAGGTGTTTCTCCTAAAGACGTCCAATCAAGCAATTGATATAAACAAGCCACGAATAGTCCTCAAGGCTGGCTGAAGGAAATCCCTCGAGGAGCTCCGCAATGATATACGAGAATGGCTCATTGGAGGGAATGACGCCACCCAAGCTTCTGTCACAAAATTGACTCCCAGCCTTACTACCCATCGTGTCCGGGGATGGCGGAGCTTTAAGTGCTTGACCGAAGTGGAATGCCTCGCCTTCAACAACGGGAGGTGCGGGATATCTGCTTGTTAATCGCCATTGTGCTGTAGCTGGCTACCGACTAAAGAAGCATATCTTCCCGATTCCTCGAGGCGTACCACCGGGTAATTAGGCAATGCGACTGACACGAGAATGTTTTTGGCCGGTCAATAAGACCTGGCGCCAATCGGCGCGATAATTTGGAGCTAGGTCTAGATGCTCTCTTCTCTTGAGTTCACGTAGTGGCGCTGGAGAAAAGCAAGCAACTTCTTTTGGAGCAGGCACATTGCTGCCATTGTTATCTTACAGGTAGTAAGAAAAGCCGAAAATTCGCCGTCACTGCGAAGGAGAGGTTAAAGGATGGATCAGAAGGATTCGTGACCACCAAGGCTGTCTTTTGGTCTGGCAAGCACAAAGCCTGACGAGAGTGTGCCTTAGCCAGACCATGCTCATTTACGAGGCCGAACCGTGGTTTAAGAACGTGAAAGTTAGATCTCAGGTTGGATCCTGGGCGCCTCTGGGTGGTCCAAGGGGGTGCATTAGAGTTCATATAACATCTCTATGGACAAGCTGGTTTTATGGCATATGACGCAAAATCTGGGGGGGCAAGTCACAGGGTATATGGTGCCCCTTACTACACGATTGAAGTCATGGGAATGAAGTGGCTTTCAACATGAGCTTCCGAAGTGAGTGCGCAAGCCGTCTTGAGAACTGTTAAAATATTATATCACCCCCGATTATGGATATGCCACCCTGGCGTGTACATCGTCCGGACACCCGGATACCTTTTTAGCTTTAGTGGTATAATGTATGACTATAAGGATCATTATTGATTACTGATTGAAGAATTTAAGATGTCCAGGCAGCTCGGTCACAGCATGAGTAAGCGGAGTTAACTGACCTATCGGGGATGGATGGTCGATCCTAGACACGTGCCAAGACTTTCGATCGCAGAGATCTTCATGTATTGTCGTCATCTGGATAAGTAACTTAGCATCAACCGATGATTCATCACTAGTTGTACTCCGGACACGTACCAGGAGTCATCGGTGGGAAGCAGAGGCCGGATTTGACGGACTGTGTTTGGAGATGCACCGCAAACACAAGCAATCAAATTATGCATCCTGTCGTCCTACTGTTTATCTGGCCGCCTGATTCGCGTCGACTTCCGAAAGAGGTATATTGGAAGGTATCCACCCGATCTATATTGAGCTACTAGTAACTGTGATTATTGACAGCCTCGGGCGAATCATCACTCCGACTGTTTGACCACCTAGACAGTTGCTGCAAATCTCGCTTGGTAATGGGATACCGGCGGCCCCGGCAATCACTTTGCGGATGAACCACCTCTCGGTGTCATAAGCTGAGTGCCGACACATGCTACCAGCCAAACCGAGTTAACCAGTGGTAACCGTGGGCCTTACAAGGAGATCGACGGCACTCAATAGGCTTACGGATTCGGATAATGCAGGGTCACTGATCGGTTCCAGCTTTTTCTGGTTCCAGATCCACTGTGGATTCTCGGCATCGTCACTCATTTTTCTTCCGTTTTGTCATTAAGGCGCATTCACAGGCAATATACGCCCAAAAAAAGGGATTGCAGATTGCCCGGCACATGGTACGATCTCCTGTAGCTCGTGCAGTCTAGAATCCTTCCATGTCCCTGTCAGACACATCGAGATTGACTTTCTCTTCTTGTACCACATTACTGTCGTTCCTTTATATCGTCCATCCTTTCCCGTTCATTTACATTTCTCTTTTGCATCATCTAAAAGACAGACTTTCATTCCGTCATATTCATAGAATTTAGCAACAGACCTTCCCTTCTTTTCGGCACCTTCTTTCAATCGCATACTAATCGACAATGGCAGAAGACATATCAGATGGCGTTGCAAGTGAATATGCGCCGATCCGAACCGGTTCTCGTTCAGTCGCTACCTCATCGACCAAAACTGGGCACAATAGTCGTGGAGAGAAATATGACGAGCTGACTCCGGTAGCAACCCGACGAGCTTCCATCCACCCGGATGAAGCTCGTTACCTCACTCAGTTAGCCAGCCGTGACAATGCAGTCTCCAGGGTCAGCACTGTGGCCGACATCTCACTCGATGATCCGGCTTTGAACCCGGAAAATAAAGACTTCGATCTGTACAAATGGTTACGGAAGGTCGTCCATGTGCTCAATGAAGAGGGAGTTCCTCGTAAAGAAGCCAGCATATTTTTCCAACATCTTCGCGTCTCCGGCACTGGAGCGGCCTTGCAACTGCAGAAGACGGTCGCGGACATTATAACCGCTCCCTTTCGGCGGGAGACTTGGAACTTCGGGAAGAAGACCCCCAAGACCATTCTGCATGACTTCAACGGTGTGTTGCACAGCGGGGAGTTGCTGATTGTGCTGGGTCGACCCGGCTCAGGGTGCAGCACTTTCCTCAAGACTCTCAGTGGGAACCTACATGGCTTGAACGTTGACGAGAAGACCGTCCTTCACTACAGCGGAATTCCTCAAAGTACGATGATCAAAGAGTTCAAAGGCGAAGTCGTCTACAACCAGGAAGTCGACAAGCATTTCCCTCACTTGACTGTCGGCCAGACTTTGGAATTTGCGGCAGCGGTGCGCACTCCATCCAAAAGACTGGGCGGTATGCCCAGGAACGAGTATGCTCGGATGATGACCAAAGTCGTCATGGCTGTCTTCGGCCTTAGCCACACCTACAACACTAAGGTTGGAAACGACACGGTTCGAGGAGTGTCCGGTGGTGAGCGCAAGCGAGTGAGTATCGCGGAAATGGCTCTGGCAGGCGCTCCGTTGGCCGCCTGGGACAATTCCACCCGAGGGTTGGATTCGGCAACCGCGTTGAAGTTCGTCGAATCCTTGCGACTAGCTGCAGACTTGAACTCGTCAGCACACGCTGTGGCGATTTATCAAGCCAGCCAGGCCATTTATGATCTCTTTGACAAAGCTGTGGTGCTGTACGAGGGACGCCAGATTTATTTCGGCCCGGCCAGCAAGGCCAAGGCATTCTTCGAACGGCAAGGATGGTTCTGTCCCCCACGTCAGACGACCGGAGATTTCCTCACATCGGTGACCAACCCAGTTGAAAGACAAGCTCGGCCCGGCATGGAGTCCCAGGTGCCCCGAACCGCGGCTGAATTCGAAGCATACTGGCACCAGTCGGAAGAGTACAAAGAGCTTCAGCGCGAGATGGCTTCTTTCCAGGGAGAAACGTCTTCGCAGTCCAATGAGAAACTCCTCGAATTCCAGCAGCGCAAGCGCCAGGCGCAGGCATCCCATACCCGGGCCAAGTCTCCGTATCTCCTCAGCATTCCCATGCAGATCAAGCTCAACACCAAGCGTGCGTATCAACGAGTGTGGAATGAACGGACTTCCACTATGACTACGTTCATTGGCAATTGCATTCTCGCCTTGATCGTGGGTTCGGTCTTTTACGGAACCCCCACGGCCACCGCGGGGTTTTACGCCAAGGGTGCGACGCTTTTCTACGCCGTGCTGCTTAATGCCCTTACCGCAATGACTGAGATTAATAGCTTATATTCCCAGCGACCAATCGTCGAGAAACATGCATCTTTTGCCTTCTATCATCCCGCCACCGAGGCCATTGCAGGGGTTGTCAGTGATATCCCGGTCAAGTTCCTCATGGCAGTTGCGTTCAACATTATTCTCTATTTCCTGAGTGGTCTACGTCGCGAACCGTCTCAATTCTTCATTTATTTCCTCATTACGTTCATCATCATGTTCGTCATGAGTGCTGTCTTCCGGACCATGGCCGCAATCACCAGGACTGTTTCCCAAGCGATGACACTGGCCGGTGTCCTGATTTTGATGCTAGTAATCTACACCGGATTCGTTGTTCCTGTAAATTATATGCACCCGTGGTTCAAGTGGATTCACTATCTGAATCCTATTTTTTACGCCTTTGAGATCCTGGTAGCCAATGAGTTTCATGGGCGGGAGTTTATCTGTTCACAGTTTATCCCTGCCTATCCCACTCTATCAGGCGACTCCTTCGTCTGCTCGGCAAGGGGTGCTGTTGCCGGTCGTCGGACTGTTAGTGGAGATGCATACATCGAAGCGTCGTACAGCTACAGCTATTCGCATGTCTGGAGAAACTTTGGTATTCTGATAGCATTCTTGGTTGGCTTCATGGCCATCTACTTTATCGCAACCGAACTCAATTCCGCCACGACCAGCTCAGCGGAGGTCCTCGTCTTCCGTCGAGGCCACGAGCCTGCCCACTTGAAAGATGGGCACGAGCCTGGTGCGGATGAAGAGGCTGGCGCTGAGAAGACTGTGGTTTCTTCCTCCGCTGAAGACAACAAGCAAGACCAAGGTATTGCCTCGATTCCTCCTCAGCAGGATATCTTCACCTGGCGCGACGTGGTGTACGATATCGAGATCAAAGGTGAGCCTCGTCGGCTGCTTGATCACGTATCAGGCTGGGTCAAGCCGGGTACATTGACGGCCCTAATGGGTGTCAGTGGCGCGGGAAAGACCACGCTGCTTGACGTGTTGGCACACCGTACAACCATGGGCGTTATTACTGGAGACATGTTTGTCAATGGTAAACCGCTAGACTCAAGCTTCCAACGGAAAACGGGTTATGTGCAGCAGCAGGATTTACATCTTGAGACAGCCACGGTGCGCGAGAGTTTGCGCTTTAGCGCGATGCTGCGCCAGCCCGCCTCTGTATCCAAAGAGGAGAAATACGCGTATGTGGAAGATGTCATCAAGATGCTCAACATGGAGGACTTTGCTGAGGCAGTGGTCGGTGTGCCTGGCGAGGGTTTGAATGTTGAGCAACGCAAGCTGTTGACCATTGGTGTGGAATTGGCGGCTAAGCCGAAACTGTTACTGTTTTTGGATGAACCAACCAGGTAAGACAGTTTTTCTTGAAATTTGATTTGTGCTAATTGGTGTAGTGGTCTCGATTCCCAGAGCTCTTGGGCTATCTGCAACTTCCTCCGCAAGCTGGCTGACGCAGGACAAGCCATCCTGTGCACCATTCATCAGCCAAGTGCCATCCTGTTCGAACAATTTGACCAGCTGCTCTTCTTGGCTCGAGGTGGCAAGACTGTGTATTTTGGCCCTATTGGAGAGAACTCGCGGACGCTGCTCGACTATTTTGAGTCGCATGGTGCTCGCCGCTGTGGTGATCAGGAAAACCCAGCCGAATATATGCTTGAAGTCGTCAACGCTGGCACCAACTCTCGAGGCGAGAACTGGTTTGACTTGTGGAAGGCAAGCAAAGAAGCTGCCGGGGTTCAGACCGAAATCGACCGCATCCACGAGGCCAAAGGACGCGAGGCTGAAAGTAACGATAGAACCGATCCCGAAGACCGCGAACACGAGGAATTCGCCATGCCGTTCCTCAAGCAATTGCCCATTGTCACTGTGCGAGTTTTCCAGCAATACTGGCGACTCCCCATGTACATTGTGGCCAAGATGATGCTTGGCATATGCGCAGGTCTGTTCATCGGATTCTCATTTTTCAAGGCCGATACTTCTCTGCAGGGCATGCAGAATGTCATCTTCTCCGTGTTCATGCTGTGTGCCATCTTCTCCTCGCTTGTCCAGCAAATTATCCCATTGTTCATCACGCAGCGCGCTCTCTATGAGGTCCGCGAGCGACCCAGCAAGACGTATTCCTGGAAGGCCTTCATGATTGCGAACATCATTGTTGAGATCCCCTATCAGATCTTGATGGGAATTCTCGTGTTTGGCTGCTACTACTACGCCGTGAATGGCGTGCAATCGTCTGACAGGCAAGGGCTGGTCCTTTTGTTCTGCGTACAATTTTTCATCTACGCGAGCACCTTTGCCGACTTTGTCATTGCCGCTTTACCAGACGCCGAAACGGCCGGTGCCATTGTGACCCTCCTGTTCTCCATGGCTCTGACGTTCAACGGTGTCATGCAGACGCCCGAAGGACTGCCTGGATTCTGGATCTTCATGTACCGTGTCTCGCCGTTTACCTACTGGGTGGGCGGGATCGCCGCCACGCAGATGCACGGCCGTGCAGTCAAGTGTAGCGCGGTGGAAACAGCCGTCTTCAATCCTCCATCGGGGCTGACATGCCAGCAATACATGGCAGACTACATGGCCGTCGCGCCCGGATACCTCAGCAACCCCAACGCGACCTCTTCGTGCGAATTCTGCTCTCTCTCCGTCGCAGACCAGTACCTGGCGAGCGTCAACATCTACTGGAGCGAGCGGTGGCGCAACTTTGGGATCTTCTGGGCGTATGTCGTGTTCGACATCGCCCTCGCAGTGATGCTCTACTACTGTTTCCGGGTGAAGAAGTGGAACTTTTCGTTTGGCAAGGGCAAGAAGAGCAAGACTGCTTAAACTGTTCATCACAGCCACATGTACATAGAGCCCACACCCTAATAGCACACCCCCTTCCTTCCGTTCAGCTCAACACTCCTGACCCCCCTCAACAACCTTGAACCCCGCCCACCCAGTAAACAGATAACATACCTCCCATCCATCGCGAATAACATCGGCGTTACCCGCCGCACACCCCGCATCACTATACATACACAAATCATACCGATTCACTCCGGGACTCTTCCACGAAACACTCTTCACACTCGTCGTATTGTAGACACTCGTATCGAGGCCCTCGCATTCTGTCCCGTATAGCCCCGACCGGTGGAAAACCGAGATGTCGATATTCGACGCGTTGGGGTTACACCCCGGCCCGAGGAGGCGGAGGTCCCACTTTTCCAGTCCGTTAGGACACATCATCCATGCCAGCAGTGTGAAAAGTGAATAAAAGGCAAACTTACGTTGCGGGGTTTGAGGATGTCGCGGGTTTGGAGGGCGGATGATGTCGTTGAGAGCATGAGGGTTAGGGCGACGGTGAGGAGCGGTGGTGGATACATTTTCGTCGGTCTCGTATTGCTATTTACGCTGTATTCTGAGGTTACTCCGATGATGATTTGGATGAAGTGGATGATGAACATGGAGATGGGGTGGGCGAAGTTGACGATGGAAAAGGGCGTGAGGAGTAGTCTAGTGATCCTAGGAGCTAGCTATCTAGCAGGGGTATTTGTCGCAAGTATGTCCTATACTACTTCTCTACTGGTCGATTGGTACAGGTCTAATATTAGATTCGAATCTGCATAGGCCCGCTGGCCAGGAACATGGCGAATGGTGTGACTCGTGTTTGTTGCAGATTGTCGGTGGCGGATGTGATTGGCGATCTACAGGGGTACTGTGGTTTGCAAACCAGACATAGATATGGAGCGTACCAGATGTATTGCCAAATTGTAATTGGGTCTAACGCAGAGGTCCTATAAGCCATGACTCTCCAGCGAGCTATCTAATATACATAATATGGACGCATTGGCCGCAGTATAATGATCGAAAACGTCATCTCATAGCCCTGGTGTCTACTACCGATCTCCATTGCTCAATCTCCATGCCCTTAGAGGCAGACTCTGGAGCTTCAGGACCGCAGGCTGGATAAACATGATAAAGGTGACTGTTCCAATCAACACACACAGGATGTTGGTGATGTAGTAGCCATCGCGACTGGTTTCGCATACTCCACCGCCGTTGACGCAGCGGTTCTTGTCAGGCTCCAAAGCGCAAGAGAACGCAGACGTGATCAAATCACCCTTCAACTTCTCCGCCGCAGGCGGGACGGCTGGGGGAATGCAGGTGGCCACAGTGAAAAAGTCGACGAGTTTAAGGATGAAGTACCGAGGGAATGTACCACCAAGATTGGAGACGCTAGACGGGTCAGTGTACAGCAGTGGAGATGGGCAAAGGGAACTTACGTTGCCAACATGGTCATGTACGTTCCACCAATGGCAGGATCGGCAATGCGAGCATGGAAAGCAGACACTGCAACGAACATGACTGTGTTCATAAATGTCGAAAAGACGTGCTCCCCGATCACAACCAAAATGTACCAGAAAGGAACCGCCTCGCTAGCCGGGTAGATCATGACGGTAGCTTGAGCCAGGACAGCTGCAGCCAGTCGTCCGACAAACGCCCAGCACCATAGCCGCATGGGAGTATACTCTGTCGACCACTTTCCAGCATAGTAGCCCAGACCGATCTCAAAAGGAAAATCGATCAGAACGACCAGCGCCATGTTGTCCGTGCCGAATCCCTTGTCCAACAACTTCAAGCTGGTGACAGCATCATTGGCCTGGAAACCAATCTTGGCGATAAGATGAATCGCAATGATTGTTTGGATGTTCTTGAGTTTCAGGATGTTCCACATGCTCTTGTAGACATCGGTGATGCTGTCGCGCTCCCTTGTCTTGTCTTCCTTTTTCAAGACAGCCAAGCAGATCGTGACAAAAAGGTAAGCCCAACCCCAGAATTTCAGATACCCGCCCAAAGACAGCAGACCATCCTCGCCGGGCACCGTTCTAAACCAGCGGTTCGCAAAGTCCTTTGAGTTGAATGCCAGAAAGACCGTATATGAGAGGAAGTGCCCGGCCGTGAGGCCAACGGTCTGCGCGGTCGAGGCGTAAGAGATGTTTGGAGGCGACATGAGCGTGATGGCCCAGCCGTCCACCGCAATATCCTGCGTGGCGCAGAAAAAGACGAGCAGGAACCACCAACACGTAAAGTCCCAGACGCCAGCACCACCATTGGCACCGGCCTGTACCATCATCTCCTCGATGTGCCCACCCAGATAGATCATTGCCAGGCCCGCAATGACCTGGACTGGTGTGATCCAGCTCTTCCGTCTCCCAAACCTTTGACTCCATACTGCATCCACAATCGGACTCCACAGAAGCTTCAAGGAATAAGGATAGGACGCTAACGAGAAAACGCCGATCTGACCGTAGGAAAGGTATGGTTTGAGCAGGAACGGAACGGATCCTGTGGCCAACCCCATCGGGATCCCCTGCAGGAAATATAGAACACATAGCAGCAAAAAGTTTCTTCGGTCGGAGGAAGGCAAGTTGGCGAAACTAGTTGTTGCCATAGCTGGAGTCTGCGGGATCGGGGGGTCATCGTTCAAGGAGAAGCTCTGCCGGGACATCAAGCGCGAAGCCCGCCCAGCTGATGATTCGAGGGAGGTATCCCTCTTGCGCATTTCAATATTGGAATTCATCTCGTCGCCAGCATAGCCGTTCTGCGTGCTGGTTGCGAGGGTCAAGCTCGGTTTGGAGCGACGTTTTGAAACCGTACGAACCTTGTTCTTCATCTGTGTACTGCTTCGTCCGCGGTGGTGCTCAAGAAGTCGCGTGCCCGCCGTGTCGTCCTCACTGTCCGAGTCGGATTCGAAATCTGAGGGTGCAGGAAAAGAAATTTCAGGCTGATGAGGGATTTCTGTGTTAATTTCGCCTCTGTGATTGCTGCGATTATTGCTTTTGCATGATAGTTGGTCAAGTTCTACCTCGTCGGGTTGGTGAGCTGTGGAAGGAGAGTGCTGATCGTGCCGAACATGAAGGGAGGAAGGAGTGGAAGTGCGAGGATGACTGGAATGAGAGACAGGGTCAAGATTAGGATAATGCATCCATCTACTCCGTAATGCGGCGGCTGAAAGTGGGAGGAGAAGGTACTAGGGTCCAATCTGGAAGCTTGAAAGAATCCGATTGAGGCAAGCTGGCCTCAAGGGCCGACTTGGAGATCGTTCGGGCGAAGCTTATCTTAGTGTCGGGGGTCGGCTAATAATAGTTCAGGGAGGAGGGATGAGGGTATCGCATATGTTTCTTCACGTCTTTGCAGTCTAACTGTAGCTGCATCTGATCTAGTGGGAGTTACAGTGATATCCGTGTCGCTACTGACTTTCCATTCACCGTTATCTCGTCTTTTGCCTGTGTAACAATCCAGAATGACACAGCTCAAATATGGTTCCAGATTGTAACAGCTCGTTAAAGATCACCTCTGGTACACACTGCAAGTGCAAATGATCCTTCATCACTTTACGGAATAGAAGCTAGGCTATCGATATGCACAGATGCCATATGTGCTGGCTCATATGAATCCCTTGCCTAACATATGCCCAAGATCTCACTCCTGTTACTATCGTGGCATCTCCATGTCAACTGTGCACCTAATCAAGGGCCAAAAGTGCATAGACACAAACAAGTAAAGGAACAAGCGCTTGAGACTACTCCGTGTCTCCTCACTGTGTCTTGGGACGAAAATGGATCTTCGTCGTACTTAAGTCTGCATGGATTTGTTGACACGTGACGCCGTAGCACCACAAACAAACATGACATGGTCGTAAAGTACTTCTCCGCATCATCATATCTGCACAAGAGATTGAAATCATATCTATACTCCAGATTGCAATATGGAATCACCAGACAGTCTCAAACAAATGGAGGAGCAGCTAGACTCCGAGATATCTTCCATCCGGCGCGAAAGTGAGCACTACAGAATCGCCCATCATCACACAACGCTAACCGCATACCAGTCCGTAATCTCCAACGACGACGTCGACTCCTAACTTCCAGCCTTCTTTCGTCCGACAACTTTCAAAAACGACTGAAGGCGCGCCAAGCAGCAGCAGCATCTACACCCATCTCGTCCCTAACCGACGAAGTCTCCCCCCTCGTCCAAGCCGCCGATAAGCACGCCGAATTGAACCATCACCGCGTCGCGTTCTCAACAACCACCTTCCCCTTCAAAGACCCTTCTCCGCATTCGGACCATCCGAATCTACTAGGTGTGCGCATTGATATCTGCTGTCGGAACGGCCGCTTCACGAAGCCGTACTACGTGCTTCTGAGACAGGCCGGCGCGGGCGACGAGAAGAGGCTACGGGTGCACCGACATACAATCCCTGCGTTTATCCCTATCAAGAAACTAGAGCGCGTCTATCTGCCTTTGCCGCCAACGGAGGAGTTCACGGAAGAGGGTGCGCCCCTCAAGCCGAGGAAGGGTCGCGTGCGGAAGCAGGACCTACAGGGTCTAGTTCGCGAACTGAGGCGACAGCTTGTTGCGTGGCATCTACGAGTCGATGCCGTTAACATGCTGAAGGAAGACCTGGGCGGTGTTCAAGATGGAACTGTGGGTGGCGGTGTAGACGAGAGTCGGTTGGAACCTAATGAGTTGGGGATTGTGTCTGTTTCTCCGACGGCACTCGAGGCGACGTATGTCCGTCTGGAATGGGAGGATGGACGTGTGGGACGCTTCAAGCTTTCCGACACGGGGTTTATTGAGCGTGCAGTCATCATCGGCGACCGCGGGAGAGATAAGAGGCTGGAAGCTGTGTTTATTGGCGGTGATGGACGAGTAGAAACACTCCTGGACAGGCTACGGCAGCATGCTATACCCCCATCAAGCGAATGAATTGCAACGCTGATGCAAGAGCCGAAGAATTCTGCTCCATGCGGTTGACACTGACTCGGGTGGAAAGGATCTATATTATCCATTGTATTCTACCTCTCKAGCGGTAGAAGCGGCACATAGAGTTGATATCTATCATATATACAAAAAGCTGATTCCAATAAATGCTATGCACAAGTAACATGCCCTCACGCGTATATATGATGCTCGCCTGTCCAACAATGAAAAGTGAAATGAAGTAAGCTCTAGGAGGATGTCAACGAAATAATTACAAGAAAAGTATCAACCATAGCTGGATGGTCAAAATAAACATTATCCGCCATTGCCATAGAAAGGCGGCAGAGCTGCAACGTATATGCAAGTGAGATGATTTGATAAGAAGGAAGGGTATCACTTTGAGACATCACATCATAAATTAATGCACTGATTCACCCTCCTTCGGGTGCGTCTGTTCGTCACCACTCATGTTCGTACTGTTTTCCGAGACACAAATGGCGGAGTCCCGCGCCTCGTAATGCGAATCAGAGAATGAGAGTGGAGGCAGAGGGCCGTACGGGTGTCCGTCTTGTAGTTCGAGTTTCTTGCGCAGAATTGCTTCTTCCAGGTTCCAGCGATGGCGCAGCTTCGTCTTCTTCGTCTCGAATGCTTGCATCGCCAGCGCCTCTTCCTGGTGGTGTTGTCGCTGCAGCTCAGCGAATTCCAATGCATGCTTGTCGATGAGCGCGTCCAGCTCTCTTTCCATTCGCGCGATGGCCTCCTGTAGTCGGATTTCTTGTCGGTCTCGGAGGACCTTGATCTTGGCCGTGTGTAACTGGTCCATGCATTCGTGGTCATGGTACTCCTGCGCCAGCAAGGACTTTTGCTGATTGGTGTATTGCCGAACCGGAATTGTTTGGTCGGATCCGGATATTGATTCGGAATCCGATGTCGGTGGGGGATGGGCGTTGTTGAAGTATCCTTCCATATACTTGATGCGAGTACGACAGTTCTGCTTCTCCTTCTCAAATTCGCGCAGCTGATCCATCTCGACTGCAAGCTGCCTTTCCTCCATACGAGCGGCATCGGCCTCATTCTGCGAGAGTCGTTAGCATGTCTGCAATACCGATCTTGAACTAGGGGAAATGACCTTCACTCGCTTCTGTTCCTCCAAGGCTTTATTTTCCGAAAGCCTGTCGGCCACGGCAATTTGCTGGTTGCGCCTGAGCTGCATCAGGAAACTATCTTGGAAGGCGACATGGCGATCTCTTTCCGACTTGTGCAATTCACGCAGTTGCACTAAGTCCTCATTCTCAAGACTCCTTTGCAGTGTTTCCTTATCGTAAATCGGTATTTCAAGCTTCAAGACCTGGCTCTCTTCGTCGGAACTTGGGTTCTGCGACTCGCTCCGGCTCGACTCCACGTAGATCATATCCACGCCCGCTTGCCCTCTAGCGACGGTAATCTGAGCTGCGGGTGGAAGGAGGACCGTAGACGGCGTTCTCTTCTTCCTGAAATGAATCCTGCCAATGGCAGATTTTAAGCTCGATTTTCGCTTTTCTTTCTTGTCGGTCGAAGATATGCTCAACAGCGAGTTTCTATGCCCTGGCTGCCCCGCAAAGATCCCATCTAGACCAGTAACCAGTCTTCCTTCACTGGAGCAAAGTGACGTGGGGCGTGTGGAGAGCGATGCAATCGATCGGGGGCTGCCGCATTTCACCGGATCGGAGGAGACAGTGAGTTCCGAAAGAGATGAGGCAACCTGGTCCAGCCGAGAGTTTTCGTAAGAGTGTGTTACCTCACATATCGAGTTGCGGTCCGTCGAGGAACCGGAAGACAGGACAGGGGAGGATAGATCTATGATTCCCGAGGCGATCGAGGCGGCCACCGATGCGGTTACCTCGACTTCGGGAACTTTCAATCCCAGTTCATGTGCTTCTTCAACCAGGTGTTTATCCCGAGCGACCTCGGCCTCTTCGGATGGAAGCAGAAGGACCTCATTGCGGTATTGAGCTTCATCGATGCCGACAAAATTTGACTGCTCCATGATGCGATCACTGTTGGTGTTTTCGAGTACATAGAACTCAGAACATAACTCTAATCTTTTTTACTTACAGATCAGAGTTCAAAGGCGCACAGCGGAAGATACCAAGTCACTCGTCCACAGTACCAGAAGCACGGTGGACGAGATGGAAGCGCTCAAGAGCAACATCCGACTTGCGGGGTGGGTTTCATATGGAGCAAGCAAGAACGGCCGGGAGAAAAGGAAGTAAAAGGCACTAAAATCGCGAAATGGGCAGCGATGGACACCGAGCAAGACAGAAGGAAATGAACAAGTCAAGCCGATTCGTGCCTCAGGCTTGCACCATGAGACCCACGAGGAGCCGTCTGACCGAATCATCAGCTATGGTTACACCACGATACACAAAATCAGAAGAAGATCAGCTGTTCTTCTACTAGGGTCACCGATACATTGGTAATCTTAATACGTCTCTTAAGGCTCAAGCCCGTGCTGCCTGATATTGGAGGCAGCAAGCGTGCCAAAACAGGCATCTAGGGTTTAGGGCGAGGGTGAGTCCGGTACGGTCCGCGCTAAGACGACCATGGTTTCAGCCACGCTGCATCACCATTCGCTTGGATCAGGAACCGCGGCTTCAGAATTATGATCCACTTCGGTCGATGGGATGGTTTCAGGATTTTGAACATATGTTCCTAAGTGAGACAGTTGACCACTCGTATCCTGATCCACTGTTGTACAATTGAATGGAATTGCTCAGTACCACCATAGGGATCAGCAGGGGGGAATTACTGATATTTGTAAGGGCACAGTCTGAGCGATCAGCTATCTAATCAATGTTCTTGACTTCCAAATCCAAGTCATGCAAGTCCGCATGTGGCCAAGAGCATCACTAAAAGGGGGAGGCAAATGAGACTGTGGATCACACCATGTGGAAGACCATTGACTGGCCCACTTAGCGCATCAACATTGCAACGGCCATGGCGTAGGCTTTTTCTTTGGCATCGCCTTGGGTGGTTCCCGGAAGAGCACCTTTGTCCCAGGCATGATTGCAACCTTGCATTCTCTGGCACACGACCTGGCGACCAGGCAGTTTGTTTATCTTTGCAGCGAGGGCTTCAGCTTCACCAGCCAGGCTGTCGCCGGCCGCTGTCACAACAAGAACACGATCTGGAAACCTCTCAGGCTGCGCATAGCATGGTGAAATACGCGGGTCTCTGGCATCATATGCGGAGGGAATGTAGCACTTGTCGAACAGCCGACTCAAAGGTGCAGGAATAGGCTTCCCTGCCGGATCCGGTGGGCTTTTGGCTCCCGGGTCTGTATGTAAATCAAGCGGAGGGTAGAATGCGAGGACAGATCGAAATGTCCCTCGTGGAAAGAGCACCGAAGCTGCCACGGTCGCGAGATTCCCTCCAGCGCTGAACCCGGAGATAGCCACTCGAGTCAAATCGAATTTGTTTGGCTGTTGCAGCACCCAGTTGACCGCATCCTCCACGTCGTTAAGCGCCGCTGGAAATGGATGTTCTGGCGCCAGACGGTATTGGACGTCCAACACTGTATATTCTGTCTCTAGACTGACTTGCCGACAGAATTCGTCGTCGCTTCCGTGAAGCGGTAACAAGAACCCACTCCCGTGGAAATTGATGAGGACAGGCGATGGTGACAACGCAGTTGCTGGCCGATAGATGTGAGCTCTCAAATATCTGCCCGCGTCTCGCGACTTTATCTGAAGGACATCATCTGGATTTGCAGAGATACGCTTGCCACGGGTGGCAACGGCTCTGATGAGCACCGCCAATAATTTGCGGTAGATGTATATTAGGTAAAACATTAATTAATGGTGATAAAAACCTGGTAAGGGAGACGACGGGAAGGAGAGTTACGTCCTCGATAGGGACATAAATGAAGGTTCCGGACTTGAACACTTCACGTTAACTGCCGACGACAGAGGGAGGAGAATGTGGGATTGGAATCAGGGCCCTTCATTACCTCTGCCATGATGCTTGAATGCGGTGCTGCTGATAAAATATAGGTAATATGGAGCTGACTCCACTACGTGCCTTAACTTAGTTCACGAGAGCATCATTATTGAAATGCCCAAGCATCAGGAACGTTGGTGCGAAGTGGAGCCATCGTTGTCTGTCCAAATCGCAACAATTTCCAAGTTGGGCGGCGTAGCTTAGTCCAGGCGGCATGAGATAAAAAGGTAGAGTTAACTGCCCGCTACCGACAGGTATAGGGAGATAGCGCTCGCGTGGTTGCCTGAGGCCCGAAACCCAACCTGAGGTCACGATATCAGGATGAATGTTGGCTCATGTGTGCATGTCACCCGACGCGGTGGAATTAGCATTAMTCCGTAGGTCGCGGCCAAGACTGGCCTTCCCCGCTACCAAACGCTTTCCAAGCACACCCCAAGCCTTCTATCGCAACGCACCCAATTGCACGGGAATGGGACACTTCCGTCATCTCTCTGTTCAATCGCCATCACAGTCTAAAGGCACTCCGTATATTCAAGGTCATCCTAGATATCCCCCACTATCTTATCGCATTTAAATCCTCACTTGGAAAGAAGAGATAACCTGCTTATGGCCGCTTAATTAGGCGAATGCTGAATAGTACATGAACTAATAACAAATCATTGTCCTTTGCTCCTTGTATTTACTGCACACGGCTCGCACTCGCAGAAGAATGGCCTTCCATCATCAAGCTGGAGATACTAGATTTACTGTCTTCATCCGTCTTCCATTTCCCAGAGGGGAGTTTGTGGACCCTCCTCCTGTAAGTGCCGACGCTGATCAAGCTTGCTCTCCGACTGTCGACTGACTCCCACAGATGGAATGGAACGCTGCCAAGGACCAGGCACTTTGGGATATTCTCTCACGTCCGGCCAAAGGGGATGACATAGACTGTGAGGCATTCCTGTCAACTCTCATCAAAACGTACTAATCCTCTTATAGGGAAAGCACTGTACGCCTCCAGACAATGTAAACGTCCATGATTAACGCGT